CGTCGATGTTTCGATGTTTGACATATGTCAACATCGATGTTAAAACATCGAAGTTTTAATTTTTAACATCGATGATCATGTAACATCCCTATTTTAAGTGTGTTTCCCACTCAGCGTGTGTTATGCGACGATCGGAAATAAAGCGCAAGGTCAAACTTTACGCGTTGCAGGAGTAGACCTCAGTACTGATTGTTTTGCACATGGCCAACTCTATGTTGCTTTTTCCCGCGTTAGTAGTCCCCGTAACCTTTTTCTGTACGCCCCAGCTAAGTCTACTTCTATCGTCGTTTACACAGAAGCTCTATCATAAACGACTTAGAACTTAGAGCATATCGATTTATTTTGTTACCACTTATTCATACGGTAATGATATAAATCGTTTTATATTCTCTTACCCTAAACGTCAAATTATTTAAGTAAAACCTATATTCGCGAGCTACGCCGCGGGCACAGCTAGTTTAAAATATAATACACACCGATGAGTCAAACTGTTTACTACGGTTTTTCAAACTGTTTCTTTATTTCATAGTTCAAGATCTAGATGTTAGGGCTCATTTTCCACTTAGGGCCCACCCGGGTGAGTACCAAATGACTATTATAACAATATACAAGTAAATAAATATCATTGACGTGCAAAAACAAGGTAAGGGCTCCTACTCGATAGTAAGTGGCCTTAGACATCTGAAAACAATTTGAAACAAAGAAATCCACAGATGTGTTATTACCCCTGAGAATAAAGATAGAATGCGTGCCAGCTCTATTTAGTTATCTAAAACATTATACCAATTTATACCCTTTAAACCAGAACAAACAGTGGGTGCACTTCCTTTCCTTAAAGAAGTAAAGAGGGCAAACGAGCACACAGTCCGTTTGATGTTAAGTGGATGATGTGGCCCATATACACCTAAGTATGTATATCCTCGATCAACAATCAAAGTACAGATGCGTCTTCACTCCCGAGAACTAAGATGGAAGGAACCCCGTCACCAGCAAAAAGATCCACTTCTTGTCATTCACCACCCAAAACATAGCAACATTATTCTGCTCTTTTACCCTAGTACTCGTGTGTAAGCGTGATTCTTCATCGGTTAAACTGACCTATTTATTCTCCAACCATATTAGACTGCAGTGTGACTCTACTACGTATAAGCTGTTCCTGCTACATATCATATCTATTATAAACGATAAAATCTATTATAAACGATAAAAAAAGAAATAATTATTTTATCTAATAAATATATACTCAATATAAAAAAGAACAAATATTGACCCAAATGGAACACCTGTGTCCAAATAATTAATATATGATTAGTATAATATATAATTCAACTTAAATGAATTTGGTTTATAACAAATACGTATAAAAATAAGTTTATTTTTAAATTAAAATGGTTTTATTAATAAACACTTTGTTTACTTATCAATCATTCCATTTAAGCTTTTATGAGATCAAATCACGTACGGGCCTCAGATTTTCAAGCTGCGAATTTTTAATTAAACGCATGCAAGTGTAATACTTCTCCATGAGTAGCCTGAAAGATAAGCACGTAAATAAGTACCAACTTTTTGTTTAAAAGCAAGATAATATTGTTTCTCGTCACAGGGATTGTGTTCAGCATTTTCCAATCGATTTATCTTTATTTGACGGTCACCGGAGCCTCCTTCAAATAGCAGGGTGGACGGCGTGCAGAAAGTTTGCATTTAAAGAAAAAGTTGGTACATAATATATAATGTTTATTTTATTTTTAAAGTTCAATCTATATCTATATTCAGGATGTCCTGAGTGACTGACTCATCTATCAATGCACAGATCAAACCGCTAAACGTAGAAATCTGTAATTTGCATAATAGCTGCGTTTTATAACGTATGTACAAAGGGGATTTTGAAAAATTCAACCCCTAAAAGGGTGAAATAGATTTTTATAATTTGTATAAAACTTTACGGAACTATTGCACTTAATAAAGGTACGTTTCGCGATTTCCTTATTAAGAGAAAGTTTATGCGGAAAAATAATTAATAGTAATTTTTTAATTTATAAACTAGGACAAAAACTCTTGGTTAAATATAATTTAATTATAAATTCTTCTGATATTATATAATCAATAAATAAAAATGTATCCTTGAGTTTTTAAAAAGGAGGGTGCAAAGTATGTATAAAAACTATTGTATTAAGAGGCACAACCCAAACCACGGGACGTAGAAAGCTGAAATTTGGAAAGTAGCCTTTTATACCGCAGGCATCTACTAAGAAAGGGTTTTGGAAAACACTAACTAACTTAGATATTAAGAAAACCGCAGATCTGTGGGGTATTTCCGCTAAAGTTATTGCGTCTATAATAGATACAATCACACCTCAGCTAGCTAATTGTAATACTAGTCGAATCTGGTGCGTTTCCTGATTTAATGTAAAGTAGTAAATTAATACCTTTATTTAAATCTGGTAGTAAATTGGACTCCGCCAATTTTAGACCTATTTCTGTACTGCCAACACAGTAAAATTTTTGAAAAAATTATTTTTGATGAAATGTTAATTCTTTTTAAATATAAATAGTTTATTGCATAGAAGTCCATTCGGTTTTACAAGGGCTCAGTTAACAACTGATACTAGTGTTAACCTGATTAAATATATCTTCAATACATAGGAGAATTCACAGGATCCTTTGGGTGTATCCAGTGACCTATCCAAAGCCTTCGATTGTGTCCACCATGAAAAACCGGCCAAGTGCGAGTCGGACTCGCTCACCGAGGGTTCCGAACAAACCTGTAGGTATATAAGTTTAAAATTATTAAAAATATTTATGTTATATGATGTAACTAAAAATTTAAGCTTTTCGCAATTTTCCTTTATCTGTGCTATAGTATGTTGCTTCGTACCAAATTTTAAGATGTTCACTAGTTCTTTTAAGATGTTAGAAAATTTGCGGCATAAACGGCTGTATCTTTTGATTGCGTTGGCTTAGAAGTTTGATTTTTTCACAGCTCCAAGGAACAGTAGACTTGAGTATTTCATATGAATTTCAGCTTGATACCTCTACTCGTTCCTAGAAAAAGGGTCTTGACAGACAGACAGACAGACGGACAACAAAGTGATCCTATAAGGGTTCCGTTTTTCCTTTTGAGGTATGGAACCTTAAAAATTAATCAGGAAACTACAATATAAAAATTGATGCTCTTAAATTTATTATTTAAGAGCCTCAAAATGGCTCCTTTACGAAAATTGAATGTACAAACATTACGCAAAAATAAAAGTAGTTTTAAAAAAATAAGTGATATTCATTCTGTAAATACTAGGAACAGACACAAACTAATAGTATCAGTTACACGACTCCTCGAGTCATTAATTCATTCGTAGGGAAACGTATACGTTTTTACAACAAAATCTGAGAAAACAGGTCTGGAGCAGGTCTAGAGAGACCAGTATCACTGCGACCTAAAAGATCTATTGTGATCGCTGCTATGTCTACAGTTCACTGCTAAACCCTACGTCCTCAATGAATAGAAGGAATTGCTTAGCTGTGAGTAATTTCACTATTTAGTCTGTCCACAGTCGTCTTTTGGTTGGCCTTATTACACCAAACAGTGGAGGCGTAGGTAAGAATCGCTATACTGCTGTACAATCATAGGATCATACTGGGACGCAAGTCCCAGTTGTTCCCGACTATGTACGTACCCAAAGCAATTTTCGCTTTATGACATACATTGCTAAGGTGAGAGTTCCACGTTAGTTTTTGGTCGATTGTTACGCGCAAGTACTTAATTTCAATGGAGAATGGTACTTCTTTACTATTCAGTTTCGGTGTGACTAATTTGTCCAACTGTCTCTTTTTGGTAAAGGGTATTATAACAGTTTTATCAGCATTATCCGATAAACTGTTATCCCTGCACCAGTTGTTTATGGTATTTTTTGAATAATTGATTATAAAATACTTTGATAAAAACCCCTCGCAATGATAACAAAGTCATCAGCATGTCATCAGTGTGTCACCGCGAAGGTCTGCCATCTTGTACAATAATTGATCAAACGCAAGAGTCCAAAGGAGTGGTGACAAAACACCACCTTGTAGACAGCCTCTTATAGTTGTAATCTCAATCAAAGTTTGAAACAGCTCTATTTTTGCCTTTCTGTTTGAGAGCTTCACCCACCTGATTGTTATGGGATCAACATTTTTAGATGTCAGGCCCCAACCAGCAGTGACGTAGGGCTACTGTTGGAGGCGTCCTCAACGTCTAGAAAGGCACAAAGAGCTATCTCTATATCCTCCAACGCTTTTTCGACCTGTCAATAACACTGATCAGGGCTGTTTCCGTAGTTTTGCCTCTGCGGTAAACATGCTGGTTGTAGTGTATAGGTCTCATAGCTAGAGCTACATCCTTAATATATTTATCTATAACCTTTTCTAATGTCTTCAGAAGAAAGGAAGAAAGGCTTATAAGTCTAAAGGACTTTGGTAAGGCGTAGTCCTTTCTACTAGCCTTAGGTATAAATAGAGCTTTGACAATTGTCCATCGTTCTAGAATATAACCCCATGCAAAACTTACTCTGAAGATTTTTACCAGATAAGGAAAAAGGATATCGATACCCCTCTGTAGATGGATGGACATTATTCCATCCACTCCACTTGTCTTATATGGTTTAAAGGAGTCAACCCTACAGTAAAGTAGCCCTACACCAGTCCTCGTTACAAGGCCTTCGTAGGGCTCTGAAAGAGTTCAAGGCAGAGTCATATGTGACCCTGGGAAATGGGTTGACGCTAGTAACTCCAGTGTTTCCGTTTCACTATTAGTGAAGTTACCAACAGGCTTTTTAAGAAGCCCAATCTGATCTAGCACTGCGAGGCAAAGACTCAACTTTCTCGCATAGCTTCCTCCACGATGCTCTCTTAGCTTTCCTAATTTCTTTATTATAATTGGTTAGGGCTGCACTATAAATATCCCATTCTTTGGTTTTTTTCTACCGCTATTGAATAGTTTCCTGGTCTTTTCCCTAAGCTGCTTTAGCTTAAGGAACTTTTCGTGTTGAGGTCTTGTTTTTGACGGGACAACTGTCTTCGAAGGCTTCACGGATACCTACGGTTACCGTCTCCACCGCTAACTCCAGACCTTCAATCGTTTTTATGCTTTTAGGAAACGTTTCTAAATTACTCCTTAGGCTATCGCTGTAGATGTCCCAGGAGGTCGCTTTTGGATCCCTGAAAGCAACAGTTTCATAAGTTGTGGATACCCTAATCACAAACTTAATGTGTCTGTGATCTGATATCGAGTTTTCACTACTAGCATGCCAGTCAGTAATCCGCCTGGACATCTGATGGACTGGTAGCATAGGTTATATCTAAAACTTCCTGTCTAGCACGCGTTACAAAGGTTGGTGTACACCCTAAGTTTAGGCTTATCAGGCGATTGGATATGAGAAAGTCATAAAGTAACTGACCTCTTTCGTTGATGTTAGTGCTTCCCCATGCTGTATGGTGAGCATTAGCATCACACCCCACCACAAGTTCAGCGTTGTGCTTACGGGCGAACTTCGCCACTCGCTCTAACTCAATGGCAGGACCTGGGTTCTCACCGGGAAGATAGCCTGAGCAAATGATTACTCTAGCCCCTGTGCAACCCTTAAGATTTATAAAGGCTGTAACCAGGTCGTCATTGCAATACTCTAGGACAGCTAAAAGTTCAATCTACAAAAAAAAATTGTAGATTATAGAAGCTCTGGGTCTACTGCCTTTAGTATTGACTAAGATCTTACCGGCAGCCGTCAATCCCAAAACTTGACCGTTGGCCACCCAAGGCTCTTGTATGAGGGCAAGGTCAATGTTTTCCTCTGCGAAGCAAACCTCCACCACGGCAGAAGCAGCTGCTGCATGGTGAAAATTTGCCTGGAGGACCCTCGACTTACCCTTGAGATTAGCCATTTATGGGCAGGGATCGTTTTCGCCTGCCTAGGACGTGGACATCGTTTACCGGCGCTTTTGACCCCAGCCGTACTTTTGGGTTTTCTGCTCCCACCTCTCTTCCCCCTACCCGCGCCCGACACCAGCGGAGGCCCTCAGACCGAGGCGAGTTTCGCGCCTTGGGTCACAGTCACTCTCGCTGATGTCGTTCCGGTCTCACCCCTCGACATGGAGGGCTGAGAGGATTGGAGTTGGGATGGTTCAGGCTCCATTGCCGCGTCAGAGCCTCCCCTGACCTTAAAATTTATCATTTTAAAGCCAAGGACGACTCTACCGCCCGCCGCCCGGAGAGCCCCCGCCAATGGGTCGTCCAGAGAAAAATTTACAAGGAACCCATTCTCCTCGTCCCTACGGTGGAGGATCCTCCAGAGCTCAGTATGGAGCCCTTTATTTTGTGCTCTCAACAGCACAGCCGCCTCCTCTGGAGAGTCATCTTTACTGCGGGGCAGAAAGGTAATGCCCAGTTGAGGCTTAGGCAGTTCGCTCTCGGGTATTATCGAGAGCTCTGCCTCCGGCCAGGGTTTCAGTTTTCCGACTTCACCCACAATCCAGACCTGGCTTGCCTTATTCAGGCACGTTACCAGAATCCAATCTGGCTTGTGGGTGAATCCCGAAAATTTTGGTCCCATTCCCGGCAACGCTCCACAGGTCATCTTAGCAATAGCCTGCGTTAGTGCCCGGTGGACCAGCCGCATCTGCTTCACGCTCATACGATTCGAGTTGCGAATTCCTACATGCGCGGAGCCAGCTACGGCACTGAATCTGAGCTTCATCTCCCCCATTGCCAGCTTCACAGATTTCCTGGGCTGGTCTTTAGGGGACTTCCCCTCAAACCGACTGCGTTTTTTCGCCTTCGGAACTCGGGGAGGTTAGGGCAGAGGGATTTCGTCCCGGGGCTTCTGGCTGAGAGAGAGAGAGGGTCTCTTTGGCTCCTATCTCAGCTGCTATCAGCCTTCGGTACTTTTTCCGTGCTGCCCCATTAAGCTTATAAGGCCTAGTGAACTTTTTCTTTTCCCCTCTCTGGTTCGTTTCCGACTGTGATTCGGCTGCAGACGTGCCCTCCACTTCTCGGCTCGTCCCAGGTTGGGGCGTAGAGTTGCATGGTGTTGGTGAGGCTAAAAGAGTTTCTTCCAGACCTACAGTGAGTTCCATTAAAGGAGAGTTAATCTTTTCAAAATGTCGATCTTCGTCCATTTTGTTCCCACGAGTAGCTTGGGAAAAATTCGATCACTCCCGTCAGAGCACCGCATGCCGGGGGAAGGGCTAAAATACTACCCGAATCGCCCTGGTCTCGGGTAGGCACTGTTTGCGACTGGACTCCCCCCAGCCACGCATCCATCAGCACGGTACACTTAACACCTTGGATTGGGTTAAGATAGGAAAAAGGGGGTGAGATATAAAGAAATAAAAATGAGGATCGTCTGAGTGTTGCTGTCAGCATTTTTGTTACGCAGGCATCCGCTAAGGATTTCGGAAAAATTCAAACCCTTAGAAGGTGAAATGAAGTGTAACGGTTTTCACGACTCTTTTTTATGGGAATATTTCATATTATTAAATAATTTTTTCAACTTGAAAATTGTTAACATTTAAAATTACTTTTGGATTAAAATAATATGCACTTTTTTTGAAAGTCTAACCATAAAGTGTTAATATAAGGGTTTAATGTTTGCGTAGAAATAATGGTTTTCTAACTTGCATGGTGGTGAGGATATACTTATAACGCTATTATAGTAGTTATGGATGGTGTGATTCAATAATTTTATAGCTTAAGATAAAAAACTAAGTTAAGGATTTTTGGATAGTCCGCCCCTCAAATTAAAAAAGGTTTATTTTTTAATATATTCTTTATTGTACCTACACCAAACAGGAGCCGTGGTAGCTACAGGAGCCGTGGTAGCTGGTTAATGCTCGCTGTAAGCTTCACAGTACGAGAGCAACCCGGGTTCGATCTCCGCCGACACAAATGAAATTGTTAAATGCAATTTTAAGCGCTGATTTACCACGTGCTCGACGGTGAAGGAAAACATCGTGAGGAAACCTGCATGTCTGAGAAATAAGAAAAAAATATTTCGAAGACATGTGAAGTTCGCCAACACGCATTAGGGCAGCGCGGCGGACATTTCCTTGCCCTAAAACTGAACTAAAGAATCTTCGCGTCATTAGTACATTTTAATATACCGCGTAATATAAATCAAATAAAACATTTGATATGTTTTTTTTTGTTTTATTAGTTCAATGTTTCGAAAACCTAACATTTTAATCCATATAAGTTTATTGTTTTCTCTGCGAATTGCAATGGGGATACCAAGGACAGGACGACAATAAACAAACGGTATGTGTATCAACAAAGTAGCTATAGAGACCAGCAGAGTAGTGTTGCATTGGGTGTGGTCACATTAGTTAGACGATAGCTTTACCAATATGGTACCATTATCAAAGACAAACTAGAAAAGATGACGATATTTACAATTTACATAATCACTGACTAAAATGTCTAAAATATCAGCTTCTTGTTCGGAAAAAATACATATTTATATTTATTCGAAATTTCACAATGCTTTAAAAACGTATGAATATCACACTCAAAATCTAACATTGAAGTAATGCCTAGTAAGATATAATGTAAACGCATCACTAAGCTTAAAATGGCAATATATAGACCAGTAATTGAAATAGATGCCGATGACTAAAGGACAATGTGGCAGCCATTGTAAGAAGGCCTATGTCCAGCAGCCCAGTTGTGATGAACTGCAATATTGGTTAAGATAATTAAATCAATATTAATTTGATTAGATTATTAGATAATTTTTAGACTTAGAAAACAATTTAAAAATATACTATATAAAAAACTAAAACTAAAATCTTAGATTACCATACTGTACTACTTCCCTCGGTATAGTGCTAAGAACACTGACTACTTTTCCTCACTCATTCGTTAAGCAAGAAAAGAAGAGCCCTCTTATAACCAGTGGCGACGACAAGTCGTTTAATAATTCCACCGTAATGACTCACACCACGGAACAATAGACAGAAATTAATAGCATAACTAAGTAGTAATCTCTCAGAGACTTGCGGTTTAGATGAGAGATGCCAAAGAGTCTACAAAATTAGGCGAGCAAGGCATGTCTTATCTTGGGCACTATGGAAATTATGAAAAAAATCTTTCTGCGCACTCCGTATAAACGGTCTAACATATCTGCCTTACCTCCATAGCGGAGCACAGGTCTACAGTATAATTTAAAATTTTGTTACATTTTTTTCATTCAAAAATCTTAATTGCATATTAGTGGACTTATTGCCTTTAGACATTCTCTACCAGTCAGTTACGAGCTATGCAGAGAACACTTATAAATGTACACGGCGTGAAGTATTGCATTCATAAAAGATTCAAACAAATCCAGGCAAAAAAAATAGATTTTTAATAGCTATTAACTTACTCAATAATACAAAAAATTATTAACATTGTTTCTGAATATATTGTCATAAAATTGTCAAAAATTATAAATTTAATGTTGATTTAACCTTGACAGAGATATTATTATAAAGATTTACATAGATCATAATATGATATTATGCATATTCGGTAGATGAGATTTCATGTAACCTTAAGATAAATTTACGAAAAATTTCAGATTTTTAAGGCAAAAATAACTTTTAATAAAAAGTGAAAACCGATTGCGAATAACTGAAAAGAATAAAGTAATTTAAGTAATTAATTTAATTAAGTTTTTTTGTGCTCATATTGACATCTCTTTTGTGAAAGTATTATTCACACGATAAATTAACCCAAACTAAATCTTCTTTATGCGCGACTTGGGGATACATTTCTAGAGATGTTTATTCGGACCGAAGTAACGTTCAAAAAAATATATTGTCCGCGTTTATAAAGGCAGCGACTGACTAAAGTATTTTATGAGTAAGTAATGCGTGTTATATTATTATCTAATATATAAAAATTAATGTTTGTTTGTTCGTATTTCATTCATCAGATTACGAAATAACTTTGTCAACTTATTGCTTGCACTCGCGCGAAGGTTATAGACATAGTACAACTAACTTACAGTAGGTGGCGCGCGTATCGTACCTAAAACTTTATTTCAGTTATCAACCATTCAACTTATAATGAATTTACATATTGTTATCATTCCTAATTTAACTATATAACTCTTCCTAATTTAAAACAATAATTTCACAATTATTTCTTTTGCCTGGGTACCAGCTAGTATAATTTGTTTTTAAACATTATACTAAAATTTATTTTTATTATAGTTTAATACTAAGAATAAATTATTATTTAATTGGAAAATATTTTATTATTAATTAAAAAATTATACACCTAAGCTGTGGTAACTCAGTGGTCAGGGGTTTAAAGCTCGCCGTGAAACACGAGCAAGTCGGATTCGATCCCCGCTGGCACCAATGAAACTTAAAATTGAAGAAAATTATTAATTTTAATAACTTCACAGTTAAACAAAGTTTTTTTATCTATGTAAACATTAATAATTTGATTATATCCTAAGTATTCCCGTATGGAGTGAATAGTTATATTTTTATTGAGGCATCTTTAAAAATCATTGTTGTGAAATTCCATTTTATTCATATATATAAAAGAAAAAGTAAGGGACCCAAGACCCTGTGGAAGACCCTGTGGAACTCTTGTTCTATTAATAATTTCGTATGTTTTTTATAAGAGAGGGGCAAATGAGCATACGGGTCACCAGATGGTAAGTGACTACCGCCGCCCATGAACAACTGAGTCACCAACACAATACTGCAAATACAACACATTGCATAAATGTTATGATGTTATAGGCCATTAGTAATGATTAGACGTTGAAAGTGACTTCAGTTAACTCTCATATGACATTAAGACGTCAAGCACCTCAGTTAAACGCGATAGACCTGTAAAAAATCCGGACAATTACCTGTTTTATTATGTTAAATTGTCCTGTTTTTCATGG